TAAAAGTCTGATCGACTTTCTTATTGAAAATCAGTTATGCATGCCAGCCATATATTAAATCCCAACCTTCCAAAAAAAGAATATCCTTATTTGTTAAGTTAAGCCAGTCACTTATCCAAGTTAAGGCGGCTGCATCATAATATAATTTCAAGTTAGGTGCCTTAAGTCCTCCTCTTTCTCGGGCATCTTGTAAAATCTTAAACTTAACCCTTGGTTTTTTCCCAGCCCATATAAAATTATTGATGCCCTTTTGCCATTCATCCAAATTTGCCTCTTTTTTAAAAATAGGTATCATCTGAAACAAAAAAAGAAACTTTGGTAGAACATTCATTTTTACCGCTGAAATTCTCCCCAACAATGACAATTGCAATTTTTTCCAATCCTTTAAATCCTTTTGTACTTTTACACATAATGGTTCATAATTGTTCTTATACAATTTTCCATTTGAAGCAAATACTCCCAAATATTTAACCTTTTTTACCATCTGAAAACCTGTAGCTTTAACCAAACTTTCCCTATCCTTAACTGACATATTCTTAGATAATATCTTAGTCTTATAGTTATTAACTTTAAAACCAGAAACATTCCCATATTGTGTTATAAGTTCTAATAAGCAATCAATCGCTTGAGTCGGTTGTTCCAAAATTAAAACCAAATCATCCGCAAAAGCCCGCAGTTTATACTCATTCTTCCTTATCTTTATGCCCTTAACTACCTTTGATTCTCGAATCTGGATCAAAATTTCCAAAGTTAAAACAAATAACAATGGAGATAATGGACATCCTTGTCTTGTCCCTTTTTCAATATTAAAATTCTCAGTCAATCCCCCATTTATAACAATTTGTGCAGATTGTTGCTGATATATAGCTTTAAGTGCATGTAAAAAATTATCCCCAAAATTCATTTTCTCTACCAAGGAAAATAAAAATTGCCAATCTAGTTGATCAAAGGCTTTTTCAGCGTCCAAAAATATAAAAGCCACAGGAATCTGATTATTCTTATCCAAATACTCAATTAAGTTTATAATTTGTCTAACGTTATATTTCATATATCGCCGTTATAAATCCTGATTGATCACTATGAATCAAGTCCTTCATAACCTGCATTAATCTATTTGCCAAAATTTTTGTAAAAATCTTATAATCAACATTTAACAATGAAATTGGCCTATAATTCTTAGGCTCTGTGAGATCTTGATCCTCCTTCGGGATCAGTGATATAAAAGCTCTTTTCCAGGAAGGAGGAACTTGTGTACCCAGCAAAATACTATTAAAAAGTTCCTTTAATGGCTCCATCATTTCTTCAGATAAAATCTTATAATACCTCGAGGTCAATCCATCTGTTCCAGGAGACTTTCCAACCTTTAACTTTACCATTTTGTTGTTCCTCTGAAAGTTTAGGAAAATGCACTGATTGTAAATATTTATCTATATCCAAACCCTTTATATTGTCACTTGAATATAATTTTGCATAAAAATCCAAAAAACTCTTTTTAATCAAATCTTGCTGAAAAACCACAGTACCTTTATATTTTACTTTCTCTATAATCCTAGCTTTCTGTTTCTTTCATAACTGATAAGCCAACCACCTCCCAGGCTTATTCGCATTGCAAAAAGTATTATGTCTCATATACGACATAATCTGCCATCAACATATTAAATTGTTCCCTGAAACCTTTAAGTTATTATCAGTTGGATTGAGAACAAACTCTTGTTCTTTTAATTTAATCTCTTCTTCTATTTCTCTACGTCTTTGTAACCTTTTTTCCCTAAAAACTTTATTCAATTGAATCAGGATTCCCCTCATATATGCCTTACTGGCGTCCCAAACCATGGACATCGGTGTACCCTTATTCATATTTATAACAAAAAACTCCTTTAAATGCTCTTTACATTTTTGTACAAACTCTTCCTGAGTAAACAAGTTCTCGTTCAGTCTCCAAGGTCTTCTGTTCCTATCTTCCAAATGTAATTCCATCCACACCGGACTATGATCTGACAAAGTCCTGGGAAAAATGTTCACCTTCCTCACTCTAGAAAGGAAATCACTAGAAATCAAAAAAAAGTCAATCCTTGAAAATGGCTGATGAATAAAAAGTAAAATCTCTGTCACTTATATTCCTTTCTCGCCAAATATCAATAAGCTCCAATTCTTCTTTCAAATCAAAAAAAGTTTTAGGTAATTTAGTTTGGGTAAAAGTTTTAGAAGAGCTCCTTTTATTTATAGTTGAATCTAAAACTCCATTCCACTCACCCATCAGAATTACCGATTTGTAATCCAGCTGAGATATTTTCCCATGCAAAAACTTATAAAATTGCTTCTGTTGTTGATTAGGAGCATATAATCCAACAATAAAAACTTTCTTGCCTTGTATTAATAATTCCACAAAAAGATATCTTCCTTCAGGATCAGACTCAATTAATTTAGATGAAAAAAATTTCTTCAAGTAGATTACAACACCCCCTTTTTTCCCTGGAGCTGGAGCAATAAAATGTGATCCCAAATGAGAGTTTATCAGAAATTTTGAGTCCTTTAAAGTTATATGAGTCTTTTGCAAACATATCAAGTCATTGTTATGTTGTTTCAAATAATGAAAAACCTTTCTCCGTTTCTGTGGTACGTTTAAGCCATTAACATTCCAGGTCAGGAACCTGGCCATCTCCACTGGCCTGGAGCCTCTGGAGCATGGCCTGTAGATCAACTGTCGAAGATCTTTTAGGTCTTGCCCCTCCCACAGGCTCTGTAGTAACCATACCTTCCACTTTATCACCACTCTTCTGCTGCTGCTCTTTTTCTTTACGTTTATGGGCAGCTTGTGTCATCCTTTGATCTTTTATCTCAAGGTTCTGTACAACTTGTTCCATAACCATCATTGAAGAAGCTCCAGCCATGAGGGGCTCTTCCATTATCCTTGTTTGTGGGGGTGAGGACGATCTTGCCTTTAAAATAGAATGATAAAAATCTCTTGCCTTCGAGACAGTGGTTAATCTATAATGTATCCCATCATAATTCACTACTATTCCTCTTGGGATCTCCCATCTAAACTGAATTTGGTGGTGTTTTAGCTTATCAGACAGAAAAGTAAAATCTTTTCTGCCTCTTAAGATTTTGGGAGGTATTTCTTTTAAAATTATCACATCTTGATCTGCAATTTGAAACTTTTGTTTATAAAAAGCCTGTATAATTTCATTACGAAAGAATCTTCTAGAAAAATAGATGACCACTCTTGGTAAGTTTCTCTGTCTAGCAACCCGTGAATTAACTCTAAAAAATTTTTCTATCTCATTCTCAATTATTTCATGCCTCCGGCCAAGATTAAGAGCAATATCTTTCACAATAAGCATCTTTAAGTCCTCCTGAAAATTTTCTCTCAACCCCTTGATACGCAATCCATACTCCATCTCTCTGTATTGTGAAATGGTTTGTTCATCCTGTGTAATTTCTATCTTGTTCTCCACCTCCTCCATCCTAGATTCCAGTCTTGTTGCATTTTCAGTAATCTCCTCCATTTTGTCATCAATCCTTTCTATATGCAGAGCAAGACCTTGAAAAGCAAAAAGGATGTCCTCCCTAACTTGCTTGTTTTTTTTCTCCAATAATTCTTCTGTAATAGCCCTCTCTGCAATTATCTTTTACTTCCTCTTTAATGTCCAAAGCATTCTTTTTTAAAGCTTCTTGTAAATCTTTGAGAGAAATTGCAGGAGGAGGGGAGGGTGGGGGTGATTTAGGTTTCTGAGAAACAGGCTGAGTCATTGGGGAAGAGATAGTGGCTTTAGGAGCAGGAGGCAGACATTTTGAAGCCATTTCTTAAATTCCAACAAGAAAGATTCTTGTCTATAAAGTCACAATTCTTTAAATGTTCTTTAAATAATAGCAGAAAAAAAAGAAAAAAAGGAAAAAACAAAGGAAAAAGAAAAATAAATAAATAAAAGCCAAGTTCTTGCTTCTGTATTTAAAGCATTAATCTATAACCAACTTTTAACTTTGTAACCAAATCAGGCAAGAAAGACAATCGCCATTTTGCCTTTCACTTTCCCTTTCTTCAAAAGGGAAAGTAAACAATAAAAAGAAGGAAGAAGGTACTTGCTGAAGTTAAAGTCACAATCAATCTTGGTCTGCTCCATCTGCATTTAAATACTCACAAGCAGCTAAGAAAAAGCAGATGTGGAAGCGGCGGCTTGCTTCATCCCTGAACTTCGGGACAAAGGCGCCCTGGAATGCGGAGTTGCTCAGGCTCCGAGGGAGCTCTACCCTCCGATCCCCAAAATTGTAGGGATCCAGGGGAGCTCTTACCTCTACCTGAGAGCTCTCCTCTTCCCTTTCTCCCAGGGAAGAGATTCAAGCTGCGGGACAGCTGATTGTCAAAGTCCCGCGGCTTTTACACAGACCAGGAATGGGCAGCTTTATAAAAAGCCGCCATCGTCGTCGCTGAAACCACCGGAAGTCAAGGACATTATTCATTGATACACTGTCCCAGACTCCATTTCAATTCCAAAGGGGAAGCTATAATGGCCAACTTGCTAGAGCTGCTACAGAGAACATGAAACATATAGGTAGTCCTCGAGTTATGAACACAATTGAGAGCAAAATTTCTATTGTTAAATGACACATTTGTTGAGTGAGTTTTGCCCCATTTTATGACTTTTCTTGCTTCAGTTGTTAAGTGAATAACTGCATTTGATAAGTCAGTAACTTGGTTGTTAAGTGAATCTGGCTTCCCCACTGACTGCTTGTCAGAAGGTCACAAAAAGTGATCATACAACCTTGGAACACAGCAACAGTCACAAATATGAACCAGTTGCCAAGCATCTGAATTTTGATCACATGATCATGAGGATGCTGCAAAGATTGTAACTGAAAAATGTTCATAACTCACTTTTGGCAATGCCATTGTAACTTTGAACATTCACTAACTGAACTTTTGTAAATCAAGGACTACCTGTATGTGAATATATTATTACTAACAGAAGACAGGAAGTTGGTATCTTAAGTGGACTTACCCCATTCTTTGGATATGCAATCCATCCAAGATCTGCCATAACTGATCTTGAGTCCAATAAATTCACTAAAAGAAATCAAAGAAAGAATGTTAATTGAGTGCAGAATAGACACTAAATCTCCACTGGCACAATAACTAATAGGCATAATATATTTCATGTACATATTCACACTATATATACATATACATACATACATACATACATACATACATACATACATACATATTAAAACCAATAAATACCGATCAATGATCCGTTTGTCGGAATGGAGCATCTGTGATGGGAGACGAAGGGGAGGGGACCAGAGGATTGGATAACGATCAGATGGGGTGGTGTCCATGGATAGGGGAATACATAGCAAAGAGGAGGCAGCACACTTGGATCGCGGTTGTAAGAGACGGAGGAATTTGACAGTGAGATCAAGGAAGAACTGCAACCCCCCCCCAAAAGCATGGTGTCATATACATGAGGATGAGGGGGGAGGGAAACAATTACCATCAGCATGTAAAGGGAAAAGAACTCCCTCTGCCCCTGGAGTTAATGAGGAGAACACTTATGGTAAAACACGGAGGAGACATAAGAAAACATCATATATTGACATAGGTAATGCATCTGAGATACAGCACGAACAGCTGGGTCCAATAACACATTCTAGAAGCCTAATACAGGCTGCTAACATCATATAAAGGCTCTTTCCCAGTGACTACTTTTAAAGCACTGATGATGTTGGGTTATCCCAACGAAAGCTCGGCTCATTAAATTTTTTACTACTTTCCTCTTGGTGATCGGTATTTATTGGTTTATTATGGACTTACCCAAGAGTTGAATTTTTAACTTTATAACTTGTCAATACATACATATGTATATATGTAAGTATACTCTCTGTGTGTGAGAGAGAGTGTGTGTGTTTGTGTGTGTATGTTCATAGCTAAATGACTATGAAACATTGGAACACCTAGGAGAGTGATATCGCTTATTTTAAAAGTACTTTGCCTTGGCACTGCAGATAATACACTCCAAAACAATAAAGGAGAATATTTGTAGCTCAGGGTTGAAATGAGGGGTCCTTGATGCTCTCTGAGCTTATTTATTTTCTTGCAGACATTTCATTATCCAACCAAGGTAACATCATCAGTGCTATTAAGGAGTGATGTTTGCTGTCAGTTTATATTCTGGTGGCTTACCCTGTCAGTATTTGTGGGGTTGGTCTTAGAGATTCTTTGGTTGGGTTGTTTACTGTTGGCTCTTTGGCTATTTCTTGATTGCAGTATTGTTGTTTGATTGTTGGTCTGATGTTAACCTTGGAGTTAATCTATGCTGATTTGATTGCTGATGGAGAAGTACCTGAGTCTTTTATTCCCTTTTTGGCTGGTTGATTGTCTCTTTTGCATAGTCTATAGATGTTGTTAATGTCTAAATTGATGGCTAATTTGTCAGAGTGTCACTTCACAACAAGCTAAAACCCAAACCCAAACCAGAACCAGAACAGCCACGGTAAAAAAGTAAATTTTAGCATTTCTATGTAACACCAGAGTATGAACATCTCTTTCACATAGTTAAGAATGTTCATGACACATCAGATTGAATTGGTAAACTGATACCTAACAGGAGTTGCACAAAAAAAATGATTCGAAAATATATTCCTTTTGTAACTTGTTTTGATCATGCAGGGATCATTTTGCTTTCATGAGAGTATGAAAGGAAGAAAATTAATCATGTGTGCCTACACAGCATACATTTAGAAATAACAGTATGTGATACACTTACAACAGAACTGAAGTAAGTTTATACAATCAAAACTAACACCACTACAAACTCAAGATTTTACCATAACACCAGAATTACATCACTTCAAAACAAAAAAAATATTAGTAGGCTAAGGAATCAAATCAAGTCCTAAAGAGAAAATAAAATAAAATAAAACCAAGAATTGAAAATAATGAATAAAAAGTGGAACAACTAAGCAATCTGCAGTTTATGCAGGTTTTTTTTTGTTGTTGTTGTTAACATTCATAAGCTCAGAGTGGAGAGGACTAAGAAGTGGAAATTGTTAACGGCATGTGAACAAAAGACAGAAACTAAGGAGCTTTCTTAGCAAAGGTAATTACCAAGCAAGTCAACAAGCAAACAAATAAAAAATGCTTGCTGGTTCAAAAGTGAGACAAAGCAAATAAACAACAAAATTGCCTCTCGTTTTTATTCTCCTGCCTTTTATCCAGAAATATTACTCTTTTTTCCTTAATACTCCAAGAAGAATGTTCAAGAGGCCCATATGTTTGTAAGTTCTGAAAATTAAATGGAGATATACAAAGATTGGCATATGAAATTTAACAGAAATAGCCTACAATAAGTGAAACTATGATTCCAGATGACATCTGGTTTTTAAAAACGAGACACTGCCTTTGAAAGTAAGATCCATAATTTTAGGAAGGGTTACAATTTGAATTTATTTGGGGCTGACAATTCTGTTCCCAAGGAAAATACTTTTGCAAAAATGATGGATTTGCTGAACAGAATTATTTAAATACTATTAAGAAATTAACTTCAGTGGAGAAAAAGAGTTCATCATATATTTCAAGATTCAAATCGCTTCCTTAAAGGTGGTAGAATAAAAGTCCCTGGCACTTGTGCCTTCTGCTGCCTAAGAGCCAATTAACTAGCAATTTTACCTTAAGTACATAGTAATAAACTATTCCCAAACATAGTATTTTTCCTGCAATACCTAAGATATCTAGACCAAATAGAAAATGTAATTAAAAGATAAATCTGCACCCATTAAACAAAGAAAATTATAGTACTTCCCCTTTTTTGTGCTTATAGCTAAAAGAACTTTGGCAATCTAACAAAACCTAATCTTTATAGAGTTATGGAGATTATTTAGATGGCACAACTTTTCTTTTGTTGCATCTAAAGGAAATATCCTTTTTTTTTTAGGAAAATCATCTTTTTCAGAAGAATTATTTTATCCTCAGGATTATTACCATTTACATTATGTAGAAGTACTGTATTAACAGAATAACAGAGTTGAAAGGAACCTTGAAGATCTTCTAGACCAGGGCTTTTCAACTGGTGGTACATTGGCACCTGGCAGGTGGTACACCATCCTGCCTAACCTAGCCAAGTGTAGTGGGGGAAGAGAACAAGCCAAAGAGGTGCAGCACAGGACTTGCCGTGAGAGAGTTCTCAGGAGCAGTAGGGCTGCTGGGACAAGACAAAGGCCCCAGGATTGGCACTTTCAGCTCACCAGGAAGAGAAAGTCCACATTACCTATGCTATGCCACCCAGACCCCCCCCTGGTTTCAGCAGGCAGTGACACACTTTCCTCACCATGTGGAGAGACTCGGCCGGGTGAGGTGAACCAGAGAGAAGCTGAGCCCCACATGGTCTCTACCCCCTCTGTACGCACCCAGGTAGGTTTGGCTTCTTGCCAGCTTTGCCTCGCTCAGCCCAGCTTCTCCATGAGGTGAGAAGAGCACACCGCTGCCTGTTGAAACCAGGCAGGCTGGGGTCTGGGTGGCGTAGCACAAGTAATGTGGACTTACTCCACTCATGGCATTCCCTCCCCTGAAACCCACAAAGTCAGGGGGGGTCAAGGGACATTTGCTGGTCTCCTTCAGGGGATGCTACCTTCATTCCTCATGGAAGAGGACCCCTCCCCAATTGCATTTCTTGCCTGTTTTTCTCCCTCCCACATTGCAAATATCTTCCCGCCACTCTGCTCTTAAAGTTATGTGACTCTTGTCCAGGAATTTACAGTGGCCTTTCAAGCCACAGCCACCGGTAGCACAGTCACCAGTGGGAGGGAAGGAAGGAAGGAAGGAAGGAAGGAAGGAAGGAAGGAAGGAAGGAAGGAAGGAAGGAAGGAAGGAAGGGAGGGACAACGAGGGGGAGGGAAGGAAGGATGGGACAATGAGTGGGAGTGAGGGAAGGAAAGAAGAGACAATGGGAGGGAGGGAGGGAGGGACAATGAGAGGGAGGGAGGGAAGGGACAATGAGTGGGAGGGAAGGAAGGAAGAGACAAAGAGGGAGAGAGAGAGGGAAGAAATGAAGGAAGGAAGGAAGGAAGGAAGGAAGGAAGGAAGGAAGGAAGGAAGGAAGGAAGGAAAGATGGATGTCTGGGACAATGAGAGGGAGGGAGGGAAAGAAGGGAAAATGAGAGGGAGGGAGGGAAGGGACAATGAGTGGGAGGGAAGGAAGGAAGAGACAAAGAGGAGAGAGAGAGGGAAGGAAGGAAGGAAGGAAGGAAGGAAGGAAGGAAGGAAGGATGTCTGGGACAATGAGAGGGAGGGAGGGAAAGAAGGGACAATGAGAGGGAGGGAGGGAAGGAAGGAAGGGACAGTGAGTGGGAGGGAAGGAAGAAAGAAAGGAAGAGACAAAGAGGGAGGGAAAAAAGGGACAATGAGAGGGAAGGAAGGCAGGAAGGCAGGCAGGAAGGTAGGAAGGAAGGAAGGAAGGAAGGAAGGAAGGAAGGAAGGAAGGAAGGAAGGAAGGAAGGAAGGAAGGAAGGAAGGGACAATGAGAGGGAGGAAAGGAAGGATGGAACAATGGGAAGGATGGAAGGAAGGAAGAGACAATGAGAGGGAAGGAAGGAATGGGCAATGAGAGAGCAAGAAGGAAGGAAGAGACAATGAGAGGGAGGGCGAATAGGTCACGGCCCAGTAGTGGGCAACAGCCACAGGTTGGGGACCCCTGCTCTAAAATACATCATGATATCATATTTACCAACAAATAAGATACAATGAAGTGGGGAGAAGAGTGACTTAAATTCTTCAGTAACTCTAAAACAGTTATCTTGATTAGTTCATATTGATGAGTACAACCAAAACAACAATATATTGGATTGTAGCATATCCTCAGGTCTTTACTATAAGACTTCACAGCATTTTTTAACACAGAAGATGTGAAAAATAAAATTGTATTAATGCAGAAATTTATTTTTACACCACTGAGGTATAAGAAATTATAAAATATATTCAGTGATTCCATGAAATTGACAGATTCTGTAATCAAATATATTCATGGCATATTACTTAAAATGAAAAACTTAACTTAAAACTTTAAAGTT